GCCGACATATGTGACCTATCGTTCACGAATGACTAAGCGCTGAACATTAGAACGGAAGAGGACATTCAGCGGAATGTGGAACTCTTAGCTTCCAGCTGCTTGGACTTCGAGCTGACCATCTGCATGAAAAAGACGATGGTTCTGCGCCAACCGGAGTAAAATTCTGACTACACCGAATCCCGTATCAGTGACAGCGGAACTCATTTCATATCAGTGGATAATTTCGCGTATTTTGGGAGTCCGCTTTCAAAAAACATCAAGATTGTCGGCAAAATCGCCATTCGAATATATAAACCCAGCCAAGCACTCAGTCGGCTACAGTACTACGGTTGGAATAGTTGCAACACTGTACTTAACCCAAAGTTGAGGATGTACAAGGCTGTTTTCCTAACATCGCCATTGTGTGGGACGAAGACGTGGACTGTTTATTAAGATCAAACAATAAAACTTGGGCATTTTAACCCTTGCTGTCTCTAAAAAATCCTGAAGGTGAAGTAGCACAAAAAGATTCCAGATGCTGCTATCCTAAAATGAACCGAGTATACACACCATGCTAAGGCGTATATAACCCATCAGTGGGGACGTCCATACCATCTTGCAAAACATCACATCGGTCGATCATACAGTGTGAGATTAATATTAACCCTCACCCAATGAGACAGCGCATTCACACCTCGCATTGGCCTGGCGGGCACTTGCGAATCCATCGCACTGAGACCGGCGAATCAGTTCTAGGAGCCCTAATGACATCCGCCGTGTCCGCGTAACCTGTCCGCACCGATATTGGGTCGTCGTATGGGGGTCATCTATTGGTCATATGCACTACTATGCAAATCTTCGATTAAATCGTACATCAGAACCCCGGGGTCACATTTTGCCCCAACTCCTAGCAAATTTTCCTAGGCCAAGCATTAACCAATTCCACACCCCACGTCACACTCCGTAACAATCACAACCCATCCCGGCGACAAACATGTGACCCATTTCGCCGTCTCATGTCATGTCTCCCGTAAGGAATGTGACCTGGCACATTGAGTGGTGGTCAGGTAACGTGTGGCAAGCGTAGACAAATTGTCTAGCTTTCTCAGTTCCCGTGTTTTATCCTATAATCAGCAGTTTGACAGGTTTGAACATTCAAAGAGAGAGGGTAAGGAAGACACTGGGGAATCCATCTTCACGGAAAATCAACACATGCCTCACTATGATAAATCTCAATTAATGACAGAAATCCTTCAAAAGTAAATTTAAACGGAACTTTTCGGCATGAAGAGTAGTTTGGTCGCAAATATTTTTATAGTTGATTGTTAGTAAGTCCATTGCATGAGGCAGACAGTGAACCTAGAACGTTAAATAGGGAGGGGGGGGGTTAATAACTAAAAGTAAAAAATTCATTCACTAGACTGGCGTGCCATATGTTCAGCAATGTCAAAGTGAATGCAAGCACAACGCATTACTTATGATAAGTTAGAAGTGTAATTGTGGAAATTTCAGTGCCCTAGTTGATGGGATTAGAGGGATGCTGACTGGCCTTTAAGAGAGGAGTATCTATATACCTTACCGAAGATGTCAAAATAGGTTTACAAGTGTAGCGCATGTAAAGCTTATTGTTGACGCAAAGAAGGAGACAAGACCACTGGAACAAGTATTTTTAGCCTGACGTTTCGAATTCATACTCGAATCCATCATCAGAGACAAAGTCAGAAAAGGATTGTGGATTTCCCAGGTGTTGCGGTATTTATAGAATGAAGTTGTTAGACCACTACATGCCTAGCACAGCTGGCAGTTCAAGAGTGCATCCCGGTTCGACTGGCCAGGTGTTGAAGCAGATAGCTGATATGCGCCTGTGGACCGGTCAAGATTATGGGCTGCCGCGCTCATCACACACAGTCGAGTTGCTGACTGCCGGACTTCGTCATCCGCGTGGACTATCGAGCATTGACACCAGGAAAAGTGGGTCATCCGCAAGCTCTCCTAGCGTCCACCTGCTTTGCCTAGGCAAAGTCTCAACATCGAATATGAGGAGGGGGGGGGGTCGTTGCGCTTGTTAATTGACTGATGATCAGAAAACCATGACCCGGGCAGTTACCAGCTCACTCGGTTGTCGCGTCTAACAAGAATTTCTGCTTCGTCGAACTTGAATGTGTGCTTGGGTCTCGTCGAATGAGCCGCGACTCCGGAGCTGGCATCGTTGCTGCATGCACAGCCATTCACGTTCGGAGTAGCCTCCCGCTTTCTCCGACATTGTTATTTGACCCACAACTGTACCAGACCCGGTAAACGACTCCAGATGTTTCTTGCTGTGGCAGTGAGTCTTTCGGCCTCAAGATCTGGCGCCTCACGGTTGTCTCTGGTCTGTGTAAAACTCAAATTCCAAGGGCTGTAAGAAGGCGGCTGACGGCTTCTGAGACATTCATCACGGACGAAGAGATCGCCAAAATTTGGAGCCGGTTGGATTTGGTTTCTCATCTCCTATGCACAGGCACTGGTTGACGAAGTTGCGCGGTAGTCATTCGCTCTAAGCACCCGTCCTTATAATCTAAATCACGACTAGTTGGTCTTAGCCTACTTTCCTGATGTCATAAAGATTCACAAATCGCGAGGAAACAGTTCGACCACTTTTTTACTACTCACGATAATCAGTCTTCGTGGGAGCACTTTCAAACTTCAATGGGCCTTGTCCAACGTCGGTGTGAGTTGATACTCCGTCTGAAAATGAGCTATGACAACTTGGATCAGACATCCAGATGACCTAGACATAATAGGGGCACTCAAATACAAACTAGGTGCATATCCACCACTCAAAAAGCCGGAAAACGCTCTAACACCTAGCCAACAAATCAGGCATACCTGCCGCCAAGGTAGATGTATGTCCTTATTTCCAATTGTTGGCACTGACGAAGGGTCCATGGTACTATTAACCACCATTTCTGGCACTATCGTGTACCCTAACTATCTTTCCAAGAGCTTATTGGTGGTTTTTTAAATGTTGATACACACAATAATCTCTTAAATTTTCAAGAGAACCTTCGCGGCCCACATTTATACTTGACTACATGAATCCGGAGAATGTGGAATTAGAGGACCGGTCATGAGTGGCAGCGTGAATGGACTGCTTAAATTCAACCGACGTTGTGTTCAGACAGATGAAGACAGTTTAAATAAATGCATGTTCAAATCACCAGGGCTCGTTCTCCGAGTCAAACTCGTTTACGGTGGAGGACTCGTCGGCTTTCTGCCTGTAAATGACTGTCTGCATCCACCTAGTGGAGGTAATTTATAAAAACGAGGCAGAACTATCTTCGGGATTTGAATGGCCGTGATGGCAAGCTTATCAATTCAGCATCAATACAGTTTTGCAATCATCGGGGCTGTCCAAACGGCTCTGTCCAGTTACAAACTGCTTATCTCCTTACGGAGATGGGGGTTGAAAATGTGTTCCAGAGCGCTGGGTAGCGCCGTCTAGACAGTTAATCGTGGACGTCAGACTACCGTCTGGCCTCCAAAGTCAGTTTGCCAACAATGAGGAGGGGAAATGTTCGCACTCTCCGAAACTCCCCAATGACCAGTCGACTAGAAAGATGGACGTCGCGCTTCTCAGCGAGATACTTTCAGAATAGGGGAAATATGAACGAAGTAAGCGCGTAACGCAATACGTTGAACAGCCGTGCAAAGGAAGGATGACAGGACGCTCGATTAACGCTCACTATAAAAAATAACAATAGCGGGAGGCTGCCTCCCCTCCCGTCGGGCTTTAACGATCGTCTCATCCTATAGAGGACCCACTCCAAGGGAGATATTTGTCTTAATCGGCTGTGTCCGTCCCACGGGGTAGCCACAATGAGGTGAAGGAGAGATTCGCAGCCGTATAGAGAAGGACCCCACCAAGCTGTTAGTAGACTGTGAATCGTGTCATATGGGATTTTGTCTTGCTCACTGTTGCAGAAATTACACTACCAACCACGATTACTTCCCACGACCTCACACCTTAACTCAAAATCATTTATTTTATTAATTTAACTTTTTGTTTATTGTTTAATTACCACTGTCGTTTCCGTTGTCGTATAATAGCGTAGAATAAAAATTTCGGTAAAAATCCAGGCAGTTTCTGTGTTTTCTTTCATTCTGCCAGCTTACTACCTAGCGTGCTGTCACACCCGTAAAACTCCCTTTACCAGAAATCCCGTCTGACACGATCCACAGTCTACTGACACTTAAGTGGGGTCCTTCTCTATACCGTTGCCATTACTATTTGTGCCGGTGTAATTGCCAGACATGTGGGAGTAGTTAATTTTCGAAGAACACAAAGCTCAAACCAAGAGGTCGATTAATGAATGAACCCGCTGCATTTGGTCAACCACCGCTGCACTGGTTAGGCATGCCGTAAAGCTTTCCCATAACCCTGGTAGTAAGTGTTAGATGCTAATGGGAAGCGCAAACGCCAAAAAGATCAGCATCCACAGCAGTATTAACGTCCTCTTCTACTCAAACGTCATTAAGTAGGCACAGGACGAGAACAAGAACATAGTCTTCTCCTAATGCCGTAGAGAAATGTATGGTTTTCAGACACAGAAAATGTACGACTTGTAGTTTGGGAAACCCGAATGAAAGTGTAACGGCAGGTCGGGTTCAAAATTATGCAGGAATTAGAAAAGTTTTTTTAAAACCGAATCATACTCTTCCTTCCGGTATAAAATTGGAAGAAGACGTAATTTTCTACCGAAAGAGTGAAAGAATGAATATATTTTATACATGTTTTTCATGAAATATAATTGACTTTTTAAGGGCATCAAAAATCAATGAGAAAATTGCATGATAATTAAGTGGTCTCTTTTTGCAAAGTATAGTCCTTGCATGCAGCCAGAAATAAGTTCATTTGAAAGCCGCCATCCTGAGGTGAGTGGATTATTATAGGATTATGCTGCAAAATGACTAGTTTTACAACTCTACTTAGTTGATCTTTTCGAAACGGGGACGCATTTCGGAAGTTCGGCTGATATTTCATGAGTGAGCCCACCTACTGTAAGTCAGTCCTTCTCCTCAACTTCGCCTGTGTTAACGAAATTCCATTGAGCACGCTCCACATCAAGGACCCATTCAGCAAACTCAGAGGTAAGACGCTTGCATACGCAACATGGATCAGGCTGCTTTTCCCTAGAGAACTGTCTCTCGCAGGAAAGTTTGCGGCAGGGCATGGGAATAATAGAACCCTGTACCGCAGGTGGCCTTGTCGTAAATTCCAAATGAGGTTTGGGCTAGTGTTAAAGTTAGGATTGGGCCTAGGAGTGTTGAAGCTTGGGTTAAAATTGGAACAGGGCAATCGGTATCCCTGGAATTTAACACACGAACACCTGTAGCAGAGGGGGTGGGGCAGAACGTATAACCGCATCCAACCCAGGCTTATCGGAGCACGGCAGATTTCAGTGCTGGCTGTACGTGAGACGAATGTTACAACGTTTTGCTGACCGTAAATATTCTATGCATCAAGATGACAGCATTTGCACCCAAGGGAATCGACTTTAATCGTCGTCGTCGTCGTCCTTCTCCTCCTCCTCCTCCTCCTCCTCCTCCTCCTACTACTACTACTACTACTACTACCACCACCACTACTACTCCCCTACGTCCTCCGGTGTCTAATTGACCACTGCTAAACTGAAGCGCGACAAAAGAAGTGACAGAGCATATTTGGGGTTGGACAGGGCGGCATCGTAGCAGTAAGTCCTGGATGAAGGGGCAGAGGCAAGGGTATAGAGAAGGACCGCACTTAACTGTCAGTAGACTGTGGATAGTGTCATATGGGGTTTTATCTTGGAATACATTTGCAGGCTGTTACAGAAATTACACTGCCAACAACGATTTTTTCTCACGACCTCACACCTTAACTCAAAGTCCGTTTAATTAGTGCTCTCATTTCCGTTGTCATACAATAGCGTAGAATAAAACTCTCGGCATAAGTTCAGGCAATTTCTGTGTTTTCTTTCATTTTGTCAGTTTACTGTCTAGCGTGCTGCCCCACCCTTAAAACTCCCTTTACAATAAATCACGTCGGGCACGATCCACAGTCTACTGACAGTTAAGTGGGGTCCTTCTCTATACCGTTGCCGGAGATTCTGCTGCATTCTGCACGACCCACTCGCATCGTCGAGGAGGGTGGCCAACTGAAATGATCCCGGAGACGTCCTGATTTACGTAGGCACAGATCACGCCATCTGGAAAGGAGTTAAAAGATCGAAACAGAGTCTGATTTCGCAACTACAGCAGCTTAATTCCGTTGCAAGCGTAAATAAAATTTAATTCTCCCAGTTATAACATAATTTGACGGCTTCGTAACGGGGGAAAGTCGGTGTGGATGCACCCTGGTCTGAAGCGCTGACAATTACTGGATTTCAGGCTCGTGAGGAGGCGAGGTCAAGATAATGAGTATGCAAGATGCTGCACAGATCGACGCCTTGCCGTTTCGAAGATGAAATTGCAGCTCAAACCGTTCAGTTGGCTTCAAGGATCCAGTGAATTAAATGCTGCATTATTGGAGGCGACTGAAAACAGACTGAATGACAGCAACGGATAAACACCAAAATGAATAAAATGCATATTCTGGAGAAAAACGAGTTTGGGGCTGAGTGGTAGAAAACGCGGCTGGCAGCTGTGTCATCGGTGAAAAGGCATATTTGACCTACAGTTATGGATATCACTACTGATCCATTGAACTTGCAACAACAGACTCCGATAACTAACCGTAGGGGGACTGCGCTGGAACAACAAGGGAGCCAGATTGGGGCACGATACACTTTTTTCGGACTGTACACCGGTGACAAATGCAGCACATGGGCTAGAGGGCGTAACGGCACGCCTAAGCGCAGGCTCGTGCCACGCTAGCCGCTTGTGTTCAACTCCAGCATCAGATAGCTGACCGGTTCAGGCAGTGAACTGATGTCCCGGGAAGGAAAGAGTGAGTGTGGTTGACTCTCTCAGCACACATTCATCACTATAACCCAATCTGACACTCTTTAACCTACCACGGTGCGTTACAAGTGGTGGCTTGTATGGCTACCAACGAAAGGGACAACCCGGTACTCCCTCCGCAGGATGGAGAGTCGGGCTGCAAAGGCTCCTTCTTATTGTGACGTTTTATGGAAGTCCTACCCGGTGGGATTCCGGTCGCCCCTTTCTTGTCTGTGCGAAAATCTCGTCCATCGCGTGAGGATCAGGCGTGTGATGCACGCGTAGACGGATTGTCTAGCTTTGTCAGCCACTGCATTCGGTCTCGCCTCCGGTCTTCTTGGCTCTGTCTTGACACTGGATTCAGATGGATGATGGAGAAGAGAGTGCGATAGACGCTTTGCAAGTCACCGCCTCTACGGCACATGGTGGACATCGTCTTCGGCGACGGCCGAAATGATGATCAATCAAACTTAAGATAAAATAAAGTGAATAAAATTGTTTTATTAATTTCCCTCGAGGTATTGTCATAGCGAATAAAAATAAAGTTCCAAATTAATTTTAGAACAAGTAGACCGTTAATGTACAGGGTTTAGTTCGTGCTTATAGAGTAGGCGGTCTGATTTGAAAAATGACTAAGGAACAGTGAAAAAACTCATTTTTTTCGTAAAAGAAAAATGAATGCGACTTGATTAGTTTTTAGGGAGAAAAAACTGTCGCTCATGGGAAGGTAAATATGCGGATCGGGCAGGACCGTCCTTCATTTGGTAGTGTATAAGGGTTCGAAACGGACATAGTCGAGGCGAGATTCAAAAACTGGATGAGGCTATTCACTGCGGATGCGGTCATATTATTTTGCGCTGACAAGAGAAGCAACCGTCACGGTGGCGAGACGAGAGGAACCCAAACGCGATCAGTCGCAGGCTGCTTATAGTCCATCCGAGGAGGGGACATTAAGGGCTACAGTGGCCATCAAAGTGTGGGAAGATGAGACTATGATACTTTTGCTGATCGACTAAATAACTAGCAGATGGCGAAAACAGTGGATTCCGCCGTCATCGTCAACAGATCGCTTAGGATCGAAATGAGGAGATGACATCAAGAACCGTGAAAATAGTCTGCCTATGACTGGCATACAAGATGGGCTTGACCGTAACTTTCAGAGTTGCAGGAATTGGTTGTGGGAGACTGATGTAGGTAAAGACGCAAGCAAGGGCCTAACTTGTACCCGATCAAAAACTGTATCGAAAAGCGCCTACTTAGGTAGATATAGTAGACAGTTATGGATATTAAACTTATTCGGTTACATAATCTACTCTTACACCCCCTAGACCTACTCATACCGTTACATTCAGGAAGTCGCCCACAAATGGGCCTTGCCAGCCCATACTATTTGTTCCGAGTTTGGTTTCACATGCAACTGTATCTCATTCAGGAATCCATTTTCATGATCCGGTCATCAAGTCCTTCACAAGACATCGTTAAGGGTTGAGTTTTGTTATTAAAAGCCAAAGGGCAGCATCGACGCAAACAGTAATGGTAGCCTAGGAGTCTGCTTGAGGCGAACATAAATTAATGTTCTGAATTAGGGATAATTATTTGGCCTCCACCAGAGGCAGTTAACATTTCGTAAAAAATGCTTTATAATACATAATGATAACAGTCTTAACATTGGGTTGTTTTAGACTGAACGAGCCCCGAGCAAGCAGTGAGAAAAAAACTGTTCGATTGAAATTTGCGACCAGCCTTCAGGTAACAGCCAAAGTATTATTTGCATTTCTGTAAACTACCGAACCTACGCACAAGTACTCAATACCTGACTTATACAGCAGAACCTAGGGTATCCACAGCCAGTGTCCAAGGCCTCCTATTCAAGCTGGACACCAAAAACGACGCGGACATGCTGTTGGACATGAACTTTTTTGCCTGTGGTTGCTCTAACTTCAGGCAGAACTTTGATAAAAGAAACTGGGGATAAGCAGGAAAGGTGTCACGAATACGCACTTGCATGCAGTCGAGACAGACACGACAGTGTGACCATCGCTAAGGGCGATGTCGGTCGTATGCCCCACAGCATGGTGGACGCAGGAAAAAACGCGCTGTAGCGAGTCCGAATGAAGGATGCAAAAACTACGGCATCTCCGGGACCAGTTAACAAAGAACGGCTACCGAAATAGTTTCATCAGCCACTGCATACGCACGCACCCACGACGGACAAACGGAAGAGAGACACCAGCAATTTGGCACTTCCTACCGTACATAAAGAATGTGTTCGAGGATGCAGAACGCACTGAGTCAGAGTTAGGCGTGGGCATCGCTCATCATCCGGCAGCTACCATGAGTAGCTGGATAATGAAAATGAAGGATCGGCTGGACGCTGGCGAGCGGTCGGGCGTAGTCTATGAAATACCGTGCCATAACTGTCCTTGCCACTACACAGGCTAAACAGGACGACGTCTCAGCTCACGAATACTGGAGCACAAACGGGCCGTTCGAAGAGGCGACCCAATATCTCAAGTCCCCGCTCACACGCTGGAGGGAGACCATGAGTTTGACTTCACGAAAACGCGGATACTGGCGCCAGCCGGCAAGAAGACGGGGCGAGAACTGTTGGAGGCCTGGGTGTCGGACACCAACTCTATCACTCGACACATTGATTTGCCTGCGTGTTATCACGCACTCCGCCCACGCAGCCAGACGGCGCAGCTCAAATCGCCGCAAAATACAAACGGCGTCACCACGCCGGGGGACCATTGTGGGCCAGGCAGCACAAACCAGACCTAGCCACGGACGTAGTCCCCACCCCCTCACGGTACAACGATATAAATGTTCACACCTTGCTGCACTCTAGCAGTCTCTGATGATGAACTCCAGTTCGAGTTCGAAAGCTAAGGCCGATAAAGCTACCATCCCAGTGATCGTGCCATCGTCTTCTTTTGAACTAGTCTATTGTGGGACCTATAGGTTACAGTGATAAGAGACGTACTCTTCCTCCACATACTGAGCTCGGTGGCAAGACGAAGACAGGACGATTGGAGATGGGATCGGGGGCGGTGGGTGACAAAACTACCTAGCCCGTCTACGCGTCCCACACACACGACGTGGTCTCGTCAGACGTGCATCAGATTTTCACTAAAAGAAAAGGGGCCGCCTGGATGCCGTCCAACCATGAATGCCATAGAGGGCGCATTCGGAGGATGTTATTGAGTCCGACCTTCCTTCCTGGGAGGCCCAAGTTACCCAGTCAGCTGAGAGCCTTCGAAGCCACGATTTTTGGCCCACTGTGACAAGTTCGAAGCGCGTTATATTATTTGCAATAATGAAATGCACTAAAATGTCATGAGGACGGACCCCCCCAGAGTCAGCCTCATTTTCTGTCCCTTTCCTATCTCATGCACCATGTCGCCACCCCGGCGGAACAGCATCTGATGCTGAGTTTGGACTCAAGCGGCTGGCGCGACGTGAGGCCCGCGCCTAGGCGCGCTACCAAGCATCCCATTAAGTGGCATCGTAATAGGATGCTCAGACCCTACACAGCCTCTGCGCATCCCTATAAACACGCGTTGTGCGCTGGTCTGACCCTCATATCGATCCAGCGGCGCTATAGTGCAGCCCGTTATGGATGGAGACTCAGACAGCGTACTGAAGCCGGCAAGGCAACTAAACACAGAAGAACAATATCCCCGACAATCAGCTCCCCTGAAGAACAGGAGAGCACTTTGCGCATGTTATCCTGAATCAGTGAACGTCAGGGTTGGAAGACTGTAAGTGACGACGTCGCCGCTGGAGTTGACAGACAGTAGGGACAATGCGGGGACACCCCGAAGATCTCTCTCAATCTTTTCAGATTCAGAGACTTACGAATGTCTATTGTATGACTGAGAAGCTCAACATACCGTCGTAAGGGATGGAACAACAACCTTTGTGGCAAAAGCGGAGCGTCATCTATGCAAGACGAAGCGATTTTAATAAAGTTCAATCCGGATGACATGCTTGAACTGTCAAATGACGTTCACGCCGGAGAATGGCCTGGTTAAAGATGATGAAAGGAGAGGGAAGGGCAACCAGCTGGTCCCCCTTGGTGTTCTGCTCTATCACAAAGACTGCAGTAGTTTAGGCGCCAAACTGCGCAAGAAATTAAAAAGTGCGACACAAAGACTTAGCCTCGACAGCAACCACAAAATTAGCCACACACGAAGTTGCGTGAGCGATGCTTTATTGGGGGGAGACTGAGACGCAATGGTGCTGGGCGACAATAAATCCGAAACCAAAGGCAACTTTCAATATCAGTCTATTCAAGGACAAAGCCGGAGGAAAAAATCTCACTGAACTTACGTTCTGGTTCTCTGGTCCGCGAAACGCGATGATTTCAACCCTCCCTACCCATCACTACAACTGCTTATGAAAAAAACGTATTCGCGCGAGTGCACACGAATGAATACTATTTCGGGTGGCGATATTGATGGGCAAAATGGCTGAGTAATTATTGTGTCCTTAGCCAACACCAGTGATGAAATCGCAACCAATAACGACTCGGATATGGAAGACCAAGAAAAATCAACTATAAATGCAGGAGTTGTTAATTATAGTGGGTATGTAGTTGTGTGAAGTCCGCACCCTGCTGGGTCTGCGTCTGTTGCGCCCTTCGTTGGTGGGTCTTGGAGAGCACCCGATACGCCAGAAGAGCAAAATTCTTGTTCCAGCGATCAGGTCTACGTCTTCTCCGGTTAGAAATTTTCAGTTCTATCCCTGTGTTGGCACGGTCAACCGAAATCCTACTACTACTACTACTACTACTACTACTACTACTACTACTACTACTACTACTACTACTACTACTACTACTACTACTACTACTACTACTACTACTACTACTACTACTACTACTACTACTACTACTACTACTACTACTACTACTACTACTACTACTACTAATAATAATAATACTACTACTACTACTACTTCTACTACTACTACTACTACTACTACTACTACTACTACTACCACTACTAATACTTCTACTATTACCACCACTACTACTACTAACACCACCACCGATACTACTGCTACTACCAATACAATCGCTGCCACTGCTATTACTTTTGTGATAGAAGGGCGCTCACCGATCGTTTAACGAGACTCACTCGTTCTCTTGTGCCTTACGGGCTCTCTCTCGAGCCCAACCAGCAGCCGCATAGCGAGGCATGATTTGGCAGCATGCTATTACCGACAAAGGCAAAGGAGACTGGAATGGTCATTTCTGGCTCATTAGCAGTCGTCAGTCAGTCACACCCGACCCCGAATTGTGGAACACCTGGAGCTCGATCCCGCGACCTGTTGGTTAGAAGTCCATCGCCCTAACCGCTAAGCCACGGGCTCGTTGTCCTGTAGGTTGTGATCGGGAATATAAAATGGCAGACGGGTGCTCACCGATCGTGCTACATAACTTACTCGTCGACAAAAATACGGGCCCGTGGCTCAGTAGTTAGGGTCTTTGGACTTCCAACCGATAGGTTAGCGGGATCGAGCACCGGGTGTTCCAAACGTCAGGGTTGGGCAGGGCTGACTGACGACGGTTAATAAGCCAGAAATGGCCATTCCAGCCTCCCTTGCCTTTGTCGATCATGTCATCTTGACTACTAATACGGCCAATACTACTACTACTACTACTTCTACTACTACTACTACTACTACTACTACTACTACTACTACTACTACTACTACTACTACTACTACTACTACTACTATTACCACTACTAATACTACTACTATTCCTACTACTACTACTACTACTGCTACTACTACTACTACTAATACTACTACTACTACTACTACTACTACTACTACTATTACTACTACTACTGCTACCAACGCCGCCAACACCATCACCGCTAGAAGCATTATCATCATCATCGAGGTCACCTTTCCCACCTCTCCTCCGTTTGCTTTGGTTGACCGTACTCCCACTCGCCGTAACAGGCACGCCACCAGGATGCAGAGGACATTCGCATGCAATGAAGGCACAATGGTAACAAACGCTTGAGGCAACCGCAAACCCCAGTCACATAAAGGGCTATTTGGCCTCTTCGAATTCATTGCAGCTTCGAAGCCCTGACTAACTTCCATAATCTCCACAAAATCTGCTTAAAAGTCCGCGGGGTTCAGGCGTCGCGTAGACGTACTTTTTCATATCTGAGTGCAGGAAACCGATCATTAGGACCGCAGATTTCAGGTCCCGCTTCTAAATTTTTAATCGCCTTAAATGCTCAGGCAATGCATGGATCTATTCAGTCACGTGAGCATACACGTCGACGATCATCAGCGGTGCGCCTATACAGCAAATGAAGAGTAATTCTCCAACGTCGTTCTGGTGGGCAAAACATCGTATGGTAGCATGTACAGTAGGTGGGCTAACTCACGAAATCTCAGCAGAACTTCCGAAATGCGTTTCCTTTCCATCACCACCACCACCACCACCACCACCACCACCACCACC